CATCAGCATCCTTTGTGTGCCGTTAGATGTCACACAGGGCGCTCATTCGATTCCTCCACTTCGCTCAGTTGTATGCAATTTTCTCGATTTCTGACATGCAGTTTAGCATAGAATTTTTTGCCTGTCGTAATACTGTTCTTCCTAATGTTTCACTTGCTCGTTCTCTTTTTCTCAGGCGTTTGCTTCCCACCCCAGTGCCTGTTTTGCCATCTTAGCTTATTTCGATCATAGTGTGCGCCCAAAATCTCTCCACCTTCTTTGTCTTACTACAGTCTATACAGGTATTTGTTCAGACTTGTCTCTGTCTCCTCACTCTTTTTGAATTCCCATTTTATGTCATGGTTTTTCTCAGACATTTTTTTTTCCTTCAAATAAATTTAACTTTCGTTTCATATCTTTGGTAGTTCTCCAACTTTTGCTGGCATATGTTAGAAAGGAAACAACAACGTTAGAACTGAAGATTCTTAGTTTGGTCTTAAAGTCGTGTAACCAAGAACTCCATATTTTGTTAGGGCTTTTAAAGACGTGTTGCTTTGTCAAGGCGTATCACACTTTCCTTCGTTGTATTGAAATTGCTACCTAAATAGATGAAGTGTTACTGTTATCGGTTTGTTATTTAGCATGACATCTACATGATATGTGTTTGTATCTTTAATATATTTGTTTTCTAATTAACTTATCTGCAGTCCTATTTTTGATTCTGTAGACGACAAATCGTCTGTTTTTCGATGCTGTCTTTGGTGTTTTTACTTTACAGAACAACAACATTTGCGAAAGCCGGATCTTCCTGTTGTCTGTTCTTAAAACAATCAATGACAGTCTTGCATTTGCAACATTTATTTTCACTATCCAATCAATGGTTACTCTAAACAACAAGGGAGATATAACGCAGTCTTGTTTCATTGTAGTTTCCAACAAAAACTTCTCACTTAGACCATTTGTCAAATTATTATTTACTCATAGTAGACTTAATTTTGTTGACTGACTATGGGCGTAGCTGATAATTTGAAAAACACTGGTCATGCTTGATGGTTTTATCAGGCTTCAAATACAGGCTTTACGTAGTGTAATGATTGATGTAATGAATAACACAAAATAGTTACATGTCAGTAACAGCAGTAACAGCAGCGGTTGTCGTAGCCGTGTGCTGGTGCTGGTTATAACAGTAGCAAAGTAATTTGTTGTTGTGTTGCTGCTGTTGTCAAGGCTCACTATGAAAACAGAATCTCTTGTCTATCAGGCTTGCATCCATATCAGCTAGCGTTGACCTGGAAGCCATTAAAAAGTTAGGTTAGTAGCGTATCCTTTACAGAACGTTGCAGAACCAACCCCAACAGCCACTGGTTGTTCCTGGCTGTTGTTCGTTTTTCTAGGCACATTTACGTCCAGTAGTTTACCATTTCTTTCTGGACGGTCGGCTTTCTTGATACCACTGTCGAAACCAACGCAAGGCGCATGGCCCAGAGCTGGAATCGAACCCGGCATCCCAGCATTACGAAGCGTTCACATCGACTCAGCCACAGAGCTGACCATTCAAAAGTAGCTGCACATAGATTCTTCCCCATGCCTAGTCCTCGTTCCAGTCATAATGTTTGGCAATAATTAGCCATATATATACAAGGTAGGTAGGTAGTTGTACCGCACCAGGACATCACACAAGCGATAAACACCCGGTGACACAAAGTGGTGAAAGGTCCCAGAAACGCCTTTCGGCCGTTAGGCCATATCTATGGCTTTGCCATATCTATCCCCAGGCTATATTTAGGGCACCCGGCAGAAGCCAGGGTGGGGCTTCGAATTACAAAAAATTTCATCGCCAAAGGGGACGACTAGGAATGATAATATATACAATATAAATATGAGTTGAAAGCAGAGAAATGACAGAATAAATATATGAGACACAAACACCCAATACCAATTATGAAACATTATATAAATCTCAAGTGCCTATTTGAACAATGAACTCAGGATAGAAAAGAGGTAATGTTTATGTGCCTGCTTGATCGGAACAACGATGGGTTTGCTTTGAACAAATAGTATACAAGCTTTTTACATAGTGGCTTCGTGTTGACATTTATCTAATGTCTCCACTTTGACATGGCTGAGTTGGTTATCGGTTTATCTTGCGGTCTAGAATTCATGGGTTCCGTTGTGAAGCGTTTTGGTCTATGAGTGTAGTTTTATTCCTGTGGATCGTCGACGGAGAATCGGAGTTTCATGCTTTGTGTGACTCTTTCTGAGAGAGGTCTCTTTGCCTCGCGCTCTGAAGATCGTGGGTTTGTTTCATGGCTGCGCTCTTCAGTTCATCAGTGCAATTTTTATGTTTTTAAGGATATCTAAGGGTTTTCGCCGGAGCTACGGAGTTCGTGTTCTGCACTGCGTTTTCGGCAGGCGGCTAACCGGTCTGCAGAGAGAGACCGAGCCGAATGGGTTTAAACACAGTGCAATGAAGCCGATCTTCTCGACTTTAACCTTTAAACTTTAACTTTATTTTAAATGTGGCCAGATCAAGCTAACCGAGATTTGACTGGCTACCAAAATAGCTACACCCACTATGTTTTGTCTCTTTAACATTCATAATTTTTCCTAAGTGAACATTCGTTGCCAAATCTTCTGCTATTGAAAGAGTTAATTCTTTGCATCGTATGTATTTTTAATCCCTCTTTTAGTTATCTTTGACCCTGTATGTTCCATGAGAAAAATAATTTCTACTTAAACTGGTCAAAATGGAGGATTAGGCATGGCAGAATGTTAAGCTTGGAAGTTATTTTTGCCTCCGTTATTGCTTTACTAAGCCAATTTCCTCATTGGGCGGTAATCTATGGTTTCGTTGCCTGAGCTCCTGAGTTTAATGCTTGGTGCAACACTCTGAGTTGGTGTGTGTGTGTGTGTGTGTGTGTGTGTGTGTTTGTGTGTGTTTTCAATGTGGAATGTCCTTCATTCGTGCCGCGTTGTGTCGTGGTATGGACTATGACCGTAACCGGTTTATGAGTGAGCTGGTGAAATACCATACGTCAGTGTTTCCTAAACTTTTCGTATTCGCGGCGCCTTTTTTCAATAAATTTTTTTTTCAAATAACAACAACAACAACAACAATAACAACAACAACAAACAACAAACTCTTTTATCTTCGAATATCTCGCGGCGCCTCTGTGAAGATGTCGTGGCTCCCCGGGGCACCGGGGCGCACAGTTTGAGAATTACTGCTTTACGTGATGGTTCTACGTGGGTATAGCCAGCCTATCGTGCCTGACTACCTCCATCAACGACAAACTGCGTTTCTGATGGCGACTGTTAGCTTTGGCGCCTCTAGCAACTGAAATACGCATTTGCTGCTTGCGCAAATTTCCGGATTGTTCCGAGACTAATTATTTGCTACCAGTTTTTAATTTGCGACAGTGAGGGACATTTCATTTGATTTGCACTGGCACAGGAAGCCAGCAAGTATGGGGAAACCCGATTGCTGTGAAGTTGAAACTTCAGATAAGACTAAGACTTAAATTGATATTATATTTTTCAGTATGTGTCCTATCCAGCGCCACCGTATTTTCCTCACCTCTTGATTCACTGAAACGTGCTTAGTTTTTACCCACAACCTCCACACTAGCTAGCTAGTTAGTTAGTTAGCTAGTTAGTTAGTTAATCGATAGGTTTTCCTGACTGCACGTCGAACCACACAGCCCATAAATGCTTGGATCCCCACCACAGTAAATCCCGCAGCGTTTAGCGGCTGATGACACCAGTTCCTGTGTTGGTTTAGTATTCTTCTTTGGCTACACGCGTCGTGTTCTTGTTTGGCGACACCCCGTTTAACTTGCTGTTCTTGCAGTCTGACCATTGTTACAGATTCAAAGTTCTCAATTGGTTCACGCAAATGTCTTAATTCTCGTAGCCTGGTCCATGGCTTGTCCGGTTTTCACAGTCGCTTTACTTACAAATCTATCAGCTTGCTTATCTCCTTGTACCTCCACATGTCCTGGCACGAAAATGAGACTAATCTTGTTAGCCGAGAACGCCGTATGGCCACCAACCACTGCCTTCGGACCCAGTCCTTCTCTATCTTCCTAAGCATACTCATCGAGTCACCTCCACGTCATACCATATGGCAGACACATGTACTCACTCATAACTACAAAACGCAGCATACGCTAACAACTGAATTCATATTAACACATAAGTGGGCGTTCCTAGTTATGTTCTCGCTGGTGGAATGTGTGTTCCTGTTATATTCACGTATACTATCACAGACCCCGTTACTCACCGAACAACAAACAATGGTTCTCACACTGTTAGTGTAAATGGCTACAAATCATGCCTTTAGAATAGATTGTTCAAAGGTTTTTAAAGCGGAAAGGAGCTATTGAAGCAGATTTTATCCCATCACAAACTAGAGGGTCGTCTGCCTATTTTCACACAATGCACAGTCTCTGTATCTCCGGCTGCGACCCAACTACTAATTGTTTTAACTTGGCCTCTACTTCCCACAGCGTGTCCTAGAGCCCACTATAGTCGTAGTTCATACAAATAAGCCAAACGCAAAACACAAGTTCTGGGACAAGACCAGAGACCAGGAGGGAACGAACAACCAGAACTTTCCGCTGGAGTGTACAGCCGGTAAACTTTAAGAAGAATACAGCTTTAGGCTAGTTAAAAAGGCAGTCCAGGTTAACTTTACATTATCCATTCGGTTACGGATTTGAACTCAACACCTCCAGGCCAGCGTGGAAGCGTCTAACTACTGTGTTAATGTGGTTCTCTGAAGTAACTTGGTCTTAAAAGAGTTAAATCTCACTTGCTGTTTATTTTTTTATTTTTTTTTTAACCAGCAAGAAAAAAGGTTAGCCTGGTTAAATTCTCGATTATCCAGTCGCCATATGCCTTATTATAGCACGGCAGAGAGAGATGATAATAGACTAATTTTATGATAACTGTCGGTGTACTGAGAGCAAAATTAGCCATTTGGTCTATGCTGTGATTCTGTTGCCAAGTTAGTGCGAGAAATGACGCCTTTATATCTCACCTCGTATTTGGTTCTTGCTGTTTTTGTTTTTTATAGTTCTGCGAGTAAGTAACTTGTAATCTTGATATAGTTGTTAACTGTTGTTCTAATTTCTATGTGTAACTTGTAATCTTCATATTTTTGGTAACTGTTTTTTTTTTTCTGCTGTGTTTTTGAAGTTAGGTAAGTGAAGGTTAGTTTATTTAGTTGCTATATATTGTTGAAAAGAATTATATAGTTATAATGTTGGAATTAGAAGTTAGAGCTGTGTAGTCTTCATGGCAGTACCTGAGAATAGGCAGTGACAGTTGAAGTAATTGTTGTAGTAGCAGTAGTTTTAGTAGTAGTTGTTTTAGCAGTAGTGATAGTAGTAGTTGTTGTAGCAGTAGTTATAGTAGTAGTTGTTGTAGCAGTAGTTATAGTAGTAGTTTTGTTTGTTATAGTAGTAGTTATAGTAGTAGTAGTTGTTGTAGCAGTAGTTATAGTAGTAGTTGTTGTAGCAGTAGTTATAGTAGTAGTTGTTGTAGCAGTAGTTATAGTAGTAGTTGTTGTAGCAGTAGTTATAGTAGTAGTTGTTGTAGCTGTAGTTATAGTAGTAGTTGTTGTAGCAGTAGTTATAGTAGTAGTTGTTGTAGCAGTAGTTATAGTAGTAGTTGTTTGTAGCAGTAGTTTGCTGTAGTAGTATATTTGTTGTAGCAGTAGTTATAGTAGTAGTTGTTGTAGCAGTAGTTATAGTAGTAGTTGTTGTAGCAGTAGTTATAGTAGTAGTTGTTGTAGCAGTAGTTATAGTAGTAGTTGTTGTAGCAGTAGTTATAGTAGTAGTTGTTGTAGCAGTAGTTATAGTAGTAGTTGTTGTAGCAGTAGTTATAGTAGTAGTTGTTGTAGCAGTAGTTATAGTAGTAGTTGTTGTAGCAGTAGTTTATAGTAGTAGTTGTTGTACAGTAGTTATAGTAGTAGTTGTTGTAGCAGTAGTTATAGTAGTAGTTGTTGCAGCAGTAGTTATAGTGGTAGTTGTTGTAGCAGTAGTAATAGTGGTAGTTGTTGTAGCAGTAGTTATAGTAGTAGTTGTTGTAGCAGAACTAGTTGGTAGTATTCGTTGTCTCAGAATAGTAGTATAGTAGTAGTTGTTGTAGCAGTAGTTATAGTAGAGTTGGTTAGCAGTAGTTATAGGAAGTAGTTGTTGCAGCTTAAGTTATAGTAGTAGTACCCCAGCAGTATTATAGTAGTAGTTGTTGTACCACGTAGTGACCTAGTAGTAGTTGTTGTAAGGTAGTGATAGTAGTAGTTGTTGTAGCGGTAGTTATAGTAGTAGTTGTTGTCAGCAGTAGTTATAGTAGTAGTTTTGTAGCAGTAGTTATACTTAGGAGTTTATGTAGCAATAGCTAGTAGTTACAGCAGTGTTTATAGTAGTATTTATTGTTGTAGCAGTATTATAGTTAGTAGTTGTTGCAGCAGTAGTTATAGTAGTAGTTGTTGTAGCAGTAGTTATAGTAGTAGTTGTTTAGGTCAGTAGTTATAGTAGGAGTTATTGTGCAGTAGTTATAGTAGTTATTGTAGCATAGTTATAGTATAGTATTGTTGTAGCAGTAGTTATAGTAGTAGTTATTGTAGCAGTAGTTATAGTAGTAGTTGTTGTAGCAGTAGTTATAGTAGTAGTTGTTGTAGCAGTAGTTATAGTAGTAGTTGTTGTAGCAGTAGTTATAGTAGGAGTTATTGTAGCAGTAGTTATAGTAGTAGTTGTTGTAGCAGTAGTTATAGTAGTAGTTGTAGCAGTAGTTATAGTAGTAGTTGTTGTAGCAGTAGTTATAGTATGAGTTATTGTAGCAGTAGTATAGTAGTATTATTGTATCGCAGTGTTATAGCAGTAGTTGTTTAAATAGTATTAATTATAGTAGTGTTGTTGTAGCAGTAGTTAGTTAGTATGCGCGCAGTGGTTTAGTAGTAGTTGTTGCAGCAGTAGTTATAGTGGTAGTTGTTGTAGCAGTAGTAATAGTGGTAGTTGTTGTAGCAGTAGTTATAGTAGTAGTTGTTGTAGCAGAACTAGTTGGTAGTGACATTCGTAGTATCAGAAGAAGTAGTAGTGGTGATGGTAGTAATAGTATAAGTGACGGTAATAGAACAAGAAGAAGTGGTTTTTAATTTATAACGTACCCCAAACACGAAATCCCCGTGGGAAATCCACAGCTGACCTGACAGTCCATTATTTAAAGGGGTGGAAGTGTGGCGTTGTGTGTGTGTGTTTTTTTTTTTTTCGAGTGTTCATCTAGTGTCTCCTAATCCTAACCCTAACCCTAAACTTGGGTGTAGATAAATCGCGAGAAACTACAACCTGAACACCCTAGAATTTATTGGGAATGTCTCCCGTTTCGTTAGCGTGACGTCAGGGGTAAGTTATAAATTAAGTACTGAAGAAGTAATTGTAGTGATGGTGGTAGTAGTGGTAGTGACAATAGTAGCGAAAGAATAAGTAGTAATGGTGATAATAGTAGTAGTATAAGTGACAGAAGTAGAATAAGAAGAAGTAATTGTAGTGATGGTGATGGTAGTGGTAGTGGTAGTGACAATAGTAGCAAAAGAATAAGTAGTAGTGGGGATAATAGTAGTAGTATAAGTGACAGAATAAGAATAAGAAGAAGTAATTGTAGTGATGGTAGTGGTAGTGGTAGTGACAACAGTAGCAAAAGAATAAGTAGTAGTGGTGATAATAGTAGTTGTACGTTCGTTTGTTTGTTTGTTTTAGTATCCAGAAGCCATGAGTTGTTAACCCTTAGGCTCGGTATTATGGATATCGCAACCTTTCGGCCTTGATTCCATTTTAAATACCGTAAATCTGGGAAAAAATGTGGCTTTCCTGCCTAAACCCGGGATTGAACCCGGACCACAAGGAGTTCGTCACCCGGTCTCCGCGCAATCCGGTTTAGCCAACTACGCTAGAGAGCCGGGCATAGTAGTAGTATAAGTGACAGAAGTAGAATAAGAAGAAATAGTTGTAGTGATGGTGGTGGTAGTGACCGTAGTAATGGTATTTTTATTCATCACAGAATCCAACAAACACCTCATCAGTGCCAAAACACTTATCCACATGAAAGTTCTTTAACCTGTCCTCATCTGTCCCTGATGACGAATCACCGTCTTCATATATTGCAATCGTTCTCAACCTTTATAATGCCGCGACCCTTTCATACAGTTCCTAATGTTGTGGCGACACACATACCATACAATAAACTTCAAAACGTCAATGCAAATGTGTTCTGCGATGGTCTTGATGCCTTGTCCTGAGTTCCATCTGTGGCATTTGAAATGCCCCACTTTTTGAATTGCTTGACAACAGTCTTGATCTTCACATTATCCCAGGATCTTCTCACCCAGGTACAAAGTCCTCCTATGGTTGGTTTCTTCACGCTAACGGCTGGTGTCAGAATGTCCCCAGAAGACTTTCACCCCTGAACTGGCATTCCCAAATGAGGCACTTTATAAATAATTGTGTACAAATCTACAACCATTGAATACAACGCCCATTGTTTTTAGAGCCTATTTTTGGGGAAGATGAGTGTGAAAAAGCTGTTAGAAAAACTGCGGAGATGTGGTTTTACAGAAAAAATGAGGAGAATTCTATGAGGAGTAATGAAGATGTCTTGAAAGAAACTGACCCACGAAGAGAACTGATTGCCAACCTCAGAAATAGACAGTCTACATTCTTGGTTATGTGATGAGAAGGAGACAACGGGAGTACGTCGTGACTGTAGAAAAGTTGGAGGGGAGGGAATGTTGAGGGAGACCGAGAGAACAGATACTGGACAGTTTGGACAATATTGCATGGAGGTTCATGCGTGTCAGAGTTGATAGAACGTACACGAGGCAAAATTTTGTAGACAGACATGACTACGAACGCCACATAGCATGGTCTTTAAGAAGAAAAAATGCGTCTTATACTGGGGAAAATACAGTAGTTTTGGAGGCTCTCAATGGTGAAGTGGGCAAGCCGTTTGCCTCACTTTATTAAAGTAGCGAGTTTATTTTACGACTGCGCTGCTCCTTTCACTAACGCAATTTCTACGGAGATCTTTAGTGATCGCCAGCGGAGCTACGGAGTTCGTGTTTAGTGCGTTGCTCTCTGCTAGACGTCTGCGGAGATAGGATGAGCCGTATGAGTTAGAACAGGGTGTAATGAAATCGATCTTTTCGACTTTGACAAAATAAACACATCAAAGTGGTTTTTACTTGGGACTGAGCTGAAACAGGACCAGAGACCAGAAGTGGACAAACAACCAGAACTTTTAGCCGGAGTCTACAACCGGTAAACGCTAAAAAAAGAAAAAGGATTTTTACCGGTAATTGCCTATTAAACAAACTCGGTTGTTATAATAGACTAAAACTCAACCATTTCAAACATTTGTACTTTTTCAATGACCTGCTATTCTTTCGGGTATAAAGCTATCATCTAACAACGCAAGGCTGTGTAAATATTATATCTTCTACTGTTATAAAGCTGTTGGGGTGGGGAGGAGGGGGGTATAGTGGTGGGGGGGGGGGGAGGAGATTCAGAAGAAAATAGGGCGAAGATTACAACAGGAGTGCAAGGGAGAAATAACTTCCTTTTTGACCGACAGTGAAAGAAGTAAAACATAGAAGCTGAAATCAGAAAAGAAACATTGCGATAACAAAGTTTTGTGTGTTTTTTTTTTAAACATCCTGTAAAACAATCCTTTATGTTTTATCCCTAATTAAGAGTCAACACTGCACTTAGAACATTCCCAAAAGCGCTCCATTCATAATTTCAGCAGCAAGCACAAAGATCCAGTTTCGATGGTACCAATAACATCCTGATTGTTTATCCGTCTCGCCCTTCCGTTGAGTGTTGAGCGTCGGCCAGATCCCCTGGCCAAGCCTCGAATCGCTATTCCCATTAGAACGGGAGGATCTATTTGTGCCTCCGCACCGTTCTCTCACTTCCAAGTGGCCCTCGCAACAGCTAGCTTTTCGTGCAACAGTTCACCACCAAATTGTGCAGATCCAGCCAATCTATCTGCCTGTGCGTTTCCTAACACACCGACATTCCAGGAGAAATTATTCAAAGGACGCTGCCTATACAAATTCTCTGAGGAGATGCCTGCCACTCTGCAAGGAGCATACCAGTCTCCACCTTTCTCAACATGCTCTGTGGGTCAGTTACAATCAGGACATGTGGGTACAGCTGATTCTACAGCCAGTGGAAGGCTGCAGTGACTGCCTCCACCTCCATTCTCAAACTAGATGTTGTGGTATCATATGCAAGGCGTTATTTCATTAAGTGATGTCCATTCGCTTTTGTTAAGAACACTTATGAACTTCGTCACACTCGCAACAAAGAACCATCAGTATATATCATCACGTTACCTGACCAAGAATTGTGACGAATCCTTTGTTGAACTCCCCAGTGATAAGCCTTTATTTAAAATGCATACAATAGTTAACGAACTAAAAAGATTTATCACATAGTTTAATGGACACACAAGAATAAATATTTCTCTTTATTTATGCATCTACAATTTTCCATCAGGCTACTACAACTGCGAGAACGGTGTCTATGACACCTTGTACCATCTGACAGAGGAATGCAGACAAGCTTCCTACACGCCTTATCTGCGCGAGCTCAGGAAAAAGCAAAAGCAGGTGTCTGGACAGGACATTGCCAATATGCTGGAGGTAGGTAGATGCTTTGCTAGGAAAAGTGATGGGGGTAGGTGGTCGTCACTTTCAATCAGCATCCCCGAAGGGTAAGCCTTAGGTTATAATTGTGAATTATGAAGTAGCTTAGCATTGCATTCCATAAAGCGCGATAAAAAAGACTTATGCGATCAAAGGAGACAGACACAAAAACTGTCCCAATCGGCGAGCCAGTGGGCGACGAATGCTGCTGGAGCTAATCTTGTTGCCAATTTCATATGTTAGAAACACTTGACAGAATGTGTGAGAGATTTACACTGCTCATACCATTGTCGGCTGCAGGGCTCCTATGCTGAAAAAAAAAAAAAAAAGATGCACTGCTTCCTAAAGTCGTAAAATGTAACTAGAAACATGAAAGATTAATATGGGGAAATACTGCATGAGACTTTTTACAGTAGAACATAAGGGAGGAAGGCGAGAGGAAGTCCAAGAAAGTATGTGTGAATCGTGTAGCTGAAACCTGCAAAAAGATGAATCCATCACTCAAGCACCCGAGAAGTGCAAGACAAATACAGAAAACAATTTAACTGGGCTACAACTTGGTATCAGTAAGACGACAAAACCACGACGCTGGACAACAACCTAGTATCAGTGAGACAAAACCACGACACTGGGCAACGACCTAGTAACAGTGAGACGACAAAGCCACGACACTGGACAACAACCTGGTATCAGTGAGACGACAAAACCGCGACACTGGGTTACAACTTATCATCAGTTAGACGAAAAAGGAAGAGGTTGAAAAATATGGGGAAATGCAGAATAGAAAACTAAATTTAAAACAAAAAGTGATGGGCCTTTATTTATTCTTGAATGCCTTGGACTCATCAGACAAATCGCGACTGACCTATTTACTTTCCAGTGTGGGTTCTGCGGTCCTGTTATGGGGAAAACAAGAATAGACCCGCATCCCCTGCCCCCAACAAGCATGTCATAAGATTCGATTTATTATGAGGTTTTCTTCAAAATCGAAATGCATCTGCATGAGAGGCAAGGAACCAACAGTCTGCATCTAATGAAATCAGATCTGTAAAACGCATTTGCAGAAAACTCTCTAGCTCTAGAACAAGATAAAAGTCTAGAAGTGGACGAACAAACAGAGCTTTCCGCTGGAGCTTACTGCCGGTGAACGTGAGGAAAAATAAAGAAAGAAAACTTATATTCTTAGAGGCCAAGAGGTATTCAGCGGGTGATGGTGTCAACATCCCACCGACACTCATAACAGTCCCGGACATTGTCTAGATCGCATTTTAGGTTGGGTCTAGTCTTGAAGACGAGATCGGTTTTGAAAAATACAATCTCACTTGATGCGGATTTGAACCCTACACTTTCGGGTCGAGAAACGAGCATCAAGTCGCAATAAAGAGTAAAGTAAAGATCCCTTTTTTTACGCCTTAGGCGCATCAGGCATATGGGACAAGCATCCCATATGTTTTTACCAATCGGCACTAGCAGGGTAATGTGGTAAGCATTACGCAGGCCGTCTTTACTTCCCCAGGACAGCCATCCTGGTACACATTTTCGACCTACGACGGCTTGTACCACGCAGCCAGCAGTGGGTTTCGATCGCGGTACGTTGGAATTTCGAGTCGAAATCCCAACGGATAAGCCACGGACGCCGCATCAAATTACTATGCTGCGAGTAAAACAAAGTAAAGGATCCTTTACCGCGCCTATGGGCATATTGGGCATATAGTGCTAGACCTAAATTTGACAGCCAGTCAGGTGGGTGATGTGGTCCACATCACGCCAATCCCCTTTACTTCCGAGGACTTTACCTGGTTGGCACCCATTTAAAGCCGGGTCGAGCTGGGAGCCAAGGTCATTTTTGAACAAAAGTCCGGCTCAATTACGACCTGGAGCCAAGATGTTCGGATCCACAGGCGAGCGGTTAGCTCCTTCACCACGACGGCTTCCTCAAAGGATATGTAGAAGCTGAGATAAGGGGGGAACATATCCTTCTCAAAGGATATGGGAAAGCTGAGATAATGGGGGAACATATCCTTCTCAAAGGAAATGGGAAAGCTGAGATAATGAGGAACATATCCTTCTCAAAGGATATGTGGAAGCTGAGATAATGGGGGAACATATCCTTCTCAAAGGATATGGGAAAGCTGAGAAAATGGGCGAACATATCCTTCTCAAAGGATATGGGAAAGCTGAGAAAATGGGCGAACATATCCTTCTCAAAGGATATGTGGAAGCTAAGATAATGGGGGAACATATCCTTCTCAAAGGATATGGGAAAGCTGAGATAATGGGGGAACATATCCTTCTCAAAGGATATGTGGAAGCTGAGATAATGGGGAACATATCCTTCTCAAAGGATATGGGAAAGCTGAGATAATGAGTAACATATCCTTCTCAAAGGATATGTGAAAGCTGAGATAATGGGGAACATATCATTCTCAAAGGATATGTGAAAGCTGAGATAATGGGGAACATATCCTTCTCAGAGGATATGTGAAAGCTGAGATAATCGGGAACATATCCTTCTTAAAAAACGATTTGTCCACTGTCCACTTTCTTTCCGACCCACTTATTAGTAAAATATAATTCTTCTTCTTCTGCCATTTATACCCCGATAGAGCATAGGCCCTCAACTAACGCACGCCAAGACGCCCTGACATTTTCTGTTACCTGTAGCTCATCCAGATCCTTCTTTTATTTTAAAATTCACCTTCTGTCGTCCTTCTCCAAGTGTGTTTTGTTGCATTTAGCTCATCTCGTGCCCTCCCCCATCTTTAAACTCACACTCTGGTATTCTTTTCCAGGTTAGAGAGAGAGAGAGAGAGAGAGAGAGAGAGAGAGAGAGAGAGAGAGAGAGAGTGTGTGTGTGTGTATGTGTGTGTGTATGTGTGTGTGTGTGTGTCTTCACGTCTATGGCCCTGTAAGTTTCAACGCAAAAACATTCTAGTTAAGTTGTTCTGTATGACTGTATTAATGACTGTATGTTTGTATGTGTGTATGCCTGTATGCCTGTATTACGTATGTATGTATGTATGCCTGTATGCCTGTATTACGTATGTATGTATGTATGTATGTATGTATGTATGTATGTATGTATGTATGTATGTATGTATGTATGTATGTATGTATGTATGTATGTATGTATGTATGTATGTATGTATGTATGTATGTATGTATGTATGTATGTATGTATGTATGTATGTATGTATGTATGTATGTATGTATGTATGTATGTATGTATGTATGTATGTATGTATGTATGTATGTATGTATGTATGTATGTATGTATGTATGTATGTATGTATGTATGTATGTATGTATGTATGTATGTATGTATGTATGTATGTATGTATGTATGTATGTATGTATGTATGTATGTATGTATGTATGTATGTATGTATGTATGTATGTATGTATGTATGTATGTATGTATGTATGTATGTATGTATGTATGTATGTATGTATGTATGTATGTATGTATGTATGTATGTATGTATGTATGTATGTATGTATGTATGTATGTATGTATGTATGTATGTATGTATGTATGTATGTATGTATGTATGTATGTATGTATGTATGTATGTATGTATGTATATGTATGTATGTATGTATGTATGTATGTATGTATGTATGTATGTATGTATGTATGTATGTATGTATGTATGTATGTATGTATGTATGTATGTATGTATGTATGTATGTATGTATGTATGTATGTATGTATGTATGTATGTATGTATGTATGTATGTATGTATGTATGTATGTATGTATGTATGTATGTATGTATGTATGTATGTATGCCTGTATGTTTGTATCTATATATGTATGTTTGTGTGTATGAATATATGTATGCCTGTGTGTATGTGTGTATGCCTGTATGCATGTTTGTATGTATGTATGTATGCTTGTATGTATGTAATGTATGCATGCATGTATGTGTGTGTAAGTGAGTGGGTGAGCGTGTGTATGTGGGTGTATGTATGCACGCGCGGGTTTTTGCATGCACTTTACAACTCATGCTTTTGTGTTCTTTTATAATATTTATAATATGCATATCATCATATGATCATTACGTGCTTTATTAGTAAAATACTACTGCTGTGCGAAAGATGGTTGACTGGCAGGGCCGAATGTAAGACGGGCCTGCGTGCCCAATTTGTGACCCTTTGAAAATAAAGTTCGTTCGTTCGTTCATTCTGAGGTTTTCTCAAAGTATGTCTTATTCAACGCTCAGCATCATTTCACCTCTCTATTCACTGGAATTTGTTCAGTTCGTAAAATATGTTTAAGCATCCATAACGTCGCTGACAATTTCCTGTGATTTAACTCTTCAATTTCTTTCGCGCTTTCCCCTGCTGAACACTCTGGCGAAAGTTTCTGGTTCTTCGTCCACTTCTGGGCCGTAGTCTTGTTCCAGAACCTAAGTTTTCATGCACGTCCGTTTTGCAGACCCAGGCAGTTTTTGTTGTTGTTGTTGTTGTTGTTGTTGTTGTTGGTATGCAGACTTTTGGTTACTCGCATCTCAGACAGATGCACTCCGACTTTGAAACAAACATTTCTTATTAGTCGACTCTTACGACATGCTTTTTTGGGAACCAGTGGGTTTGTTCCTTTGCAAACTCCCATGGGACATCAGAACTCACACGCGGATGTAATTTAACAATGATATTGATATCTCCACAGGGCTATTGCAGAGTGGCAAACGACACAACAATCTGTGTGGAAGACTACGTCAGCAAATTGCCCTGTCTGACCCAGGAGATGGAGCCATTCAGAGTCATGAACAGGCGCTCCAACTGGTACTGCAACGAAGATAAAGTGAAAGACGTCATCAAAGACATATACAACAACCTTCCAGAGGAGGCTTTGAACTACCGAACTAACCAGTGCTACAAAGAAGCACCTATCACGGCCTATCCTTGCATCAAGCGGTACTTAAATGTCAAGAAACCTCCCAAAGACAAACGAGAAACAATGAAAAAGATTCTCTCATCTTTCCGTTGTACGTACAGAAAACTGCTTCGCAAGTGCAGCCGCAGTACAGCTCTAATGCTGACAACACTGGAATATGATTGGCTGCTAATTCCTCCAGCGCTTGGTATCAACGTGTCAGACACTCTGCTAACTGTTGCTAGGATCAAAGTCTAACACGGAAAAGAAAGTAATGGGACCGGGTATTTCAAAAGAAAATAATTAAAATAATGAGATTTTTCTTCTTCTACAAAGTTCTCCATAAATACATACAAAAATGTTTACTGTTTATACACGGTTCAGCCACTGGACAATCTATTCACTGTTGCTAAGAACAAATTTCAAAAAAACTGAAAACTAAGAAAGATCAAGACATGCCCATATTGGACCAAAGGTTGCTTTGCAACTGTTCTGTGGTGTCCCAATATAACTGTGCTATATGGCCATACAGCTGTGGATTGTACGCGGTTTTTGACTGACTGACTGACTTTCTAACCCATTAGGACATCGCACAAGCGATAAACACCCGATGACACAAAGTGCCACCATGTGGATGAGGATCACCGTGGATAGGTCCTAGAAACCGCGTTCAGACAATTGTCCAAATTTATGACCTGCCTAAATTGCGGCCCCTGGCAAAAGCCAGGGTGGGGCCTCAAATAACAAAAAATTTCATCCTAAAAAGGACGTAAGGAATAGAGGTGACTAATGTACGCGTTTTTTGGGTTTGTATCTATTTTATTCTCATCCTTGAGATGTTTCTATAAAGTGCCTCAAATTTGGGGAACAACTGAGAAAGGATGATGAGTTATCTTCAGTTTGTTTCTACACGCTTATTCGAAAATTTTGCAACCTATCATTAAGAGACTTCCATTAGATACACTGTTAACTGTTGTTAAAATCAATGTCTAAAAAAAAGAATTTAGAAAATAGAACGAATTATTGCGATGACTTTCTTAAACACACATTATCCTATGGTGTATTCATTGGAATTTTACTGTACACAGCACTTACAGCTGCTCAGTTGATAAACGTTAGTGGCATACCCAAGAGCATCTCTCCGTTATAACCAATTGCTTTCCCGTGTGGGTTTCCTGTTCTATTGTGGACAAAAAAAGAATAGACCCACTGCCTCCCCAACAAGCATGTCATAGTAGTCAAACATTTGGGGACATTCTTCGAATTCGGAGTGCATCTGCCCGAGTGGCAAGCAACAACCAACTGCACACAAATAAGCCAGTAAACGAGATGTACACGCAAAACTCAGGCCCTGGAACAAAGCCAGAGTCTAAACAGACGAAAAACCAGGACTTTTCGCCGGATCTTACAGCCGGTGAACAAAGAAGAAGAAGAATAAAGTTGCTGTGTTTAATTCTACCTTCCTCTAATGCACTTTTTATACGTTTGAGACACGTTTCCTTTTACCACACTGGTGTAAGACGCCAAGAATATCGTGGAATAATAGAAGAACACAGGCGGCAGGTTTCCTTGAGGCAAGTGAGTACAGGTAAAGTGATTAGAGACCTCAGACGTAGGCTGCTGGTGTTACGAGAAGGCATTGACTCTTAATAAACCCTGCGTCCCGATGTCGGACTCAGCTTTTCGTTGGTTTTAAAGCCCCACCCTGGCTGTTGCTGGGTGCTTAATAAACCCCAACCTATCGGTCGACAGAGGTTTCTGGGACCTGCGCCCGGGTGATCCTCATCCGAATGATGGCACTTTGTGTTAACGAGTGTTGATCGCTCGGTGTGATATCCTGGTGGGATTGAACGTCAGTCGAGGTATACATGACTCGAGAACTCAATACTGAATGACAGGATTATTGGAGAAGAGCAAGGGCAAGGTAGAAAGGTAAAAAAATACCTGGATGGCTTAGCCATATGATGGGGCGAGCCAAGAACACTGATACGATCCATGATCGTTTGAGATGGCGAAACATGATGGAATACGCTTATTAGTGATGCACATGATGATGATGTTGATATCGGTGATGTTGATGACGACGACGATGATGATGATGATCATAAAATGCAGAAAGCTAACACACACACACACAAAAGTAGGCGGGATAGTTTGAATCAGTGAGTCAACGACGTCTCCACAATAAAGGTTGACTGCAATGGATCTCCAGTGGATCAGTTTTACTGATGATATTCCGACAAACCACTGTTTTAAGCCATCCAGCATCATTTCTCATGGTCTGACTTTTCTACCAGTGATCTTTCCAGTCGTCACGATATTCTCCAGTGCTTCTTTTCTCATCACATGACCAAAGAACTTTGTTTATCTCCTTCTCATTGTTGTCTATAATGTTCTACCTTCATTAGCCATTTCCGGGCATTCAGTGTTGGTTATTCTGGCAGTCTAAAGTATTCGCAACATTCTTCTCAGGAACCGCTTTTCTCAGTTGCCTCCAAACTCTTCTTTATTTAGTCTACCCAATGACAAATCTTTGTACACAAAACTGAAGCTCCACAGCGTTTAGTCTTTCGTATGGCATTAATGATGTCTCTCCTGTCCAGAGAGGGCCCGTTCCTGTTAGTCACACCGCCAGCCAAGGCGTTTACTCTCTCATTGCCTTTCACACGAGCATCGCATTGAACAAAAAAAAGAAGGAGATGGTAATAATGGTTCAGTCTTTAACAACCAGCCCATCACAATGTGCACAAACATTACAAGCATAGTCATTACTTGACATGTTCGATGTTCAAAAATGTGTAAGTCTTTATCATCATCATAATCAATTTCCACCTTTGCCGTCAAGTGACGTCGCAATAAAGGAATAGTATCCACTGACCTAATATAGAACACCCAGGTGGCGATATTCATGATGACCAATGAACACCCATGTTGTGTTGATAATATTCCTTCATATGTTCAGAAATTCTGTTTTTCTCTATTAACATAACAAATTCCCACTTTTGCCGTCAAGTGGCGAGGGGAGGAAGAGTTTGCGATTTATTGCTTGACTAGTAGCAATGGTTATTTTCATTCCTTGTTCATGTAGAAGATATTTAATGTCATCAGTCCATCTTCTCTTTGGGTGACCTCTTGTTTTCACATCGTATTTGTTCATGCGTATCGCCTACGCTGGTTGTTGTTCTGGCTGTACTCTTATTAGATGACCAAACCATGTGATCTTCTGTTTCCTAATGAACTGGGTAAAGGTAAAGTTAAAGTCAGGAGATGTAAACCAGCGTCACTGCACACGGTTATAAACCATAAGTGCTCTGCCACCAGTACGGACAGCTGATAAGTAACTGTCCCCTGTGTCGCCGTTCGCACGCAACTCCGTAGCTACAGCAACGTTCCTCCATTTACCCCAGAGTGTTAACTCTGGTACCCATTTCCTAGAGGCTGGGTCAACCCCGGGAACCGCCCGGTTTCGAACACCGGCCGTGGGCTGTAGCGAGTCGCAACTGGATTTTAAAGCGAGTCTCCTATCGACTGCGCTAACACAGTCTGGGTACACGGTGTTGTTCCAACAGACTATCTGATAGTATCATTTCTCACGTTGTCTCGGATGGTGAAGTCGGCGCATTTCACCAGGACATCTCATTTAACAGGTGTTAATTTATGTATGTTAGCCTTTAATAATGTCCAAGTCATGCACTAGTAGCACAGTTCCGGTATGATTACGCTGTTTATAATTTTTTTTTGGGGGGGGGGGGGAGAGCAGTTATATTTATGTTTAAATGTATTACTGACAGTGTCAGTATGTATATAAGTGCACTGACTCGTTTGTATCTTGTTTCAATTTCTGGTTTCAATTTCTGGATCGCTCACTCTTTAACTGGACAACAACAAAAGCCATTAAACAAAATGGGGGGGGGGGGGGGGGGGGGGTAGGGGAGAGTGAGGGACTTGTTTTTGGTAATATAGCTCAAAATGGCTTATCAATGTTTAGCAAATGTATAGTATCGACTAATTCAAACATATAGACAATGACTATTTCCTCACACTATCTGTTTGTCTCGTGCAAGGGAATAGAAAATTTAATATTGTCTGTCCAAAAGCACAGAGAAGATCAAAATTTGTTCTTTAATTTAAAGAAAACGAAAATATTATCCACAGATTAAACTCGCTGTCACCCAGAAATAACAATAAATGATGAAGAAATTGAAAATGTTCCAAACTTTCAATATCTAGGCTCTCTAATAAACAACAATGGAAACTTCGACAGAAATTAAAAGGAGGATGGCGATAGCAATGCAAAGGTTGAACAGCCTTAAAAGTCTATGGTTAAGCACCAGCAAGGGGATAAAAATTAGAATTTGGAGAGCATGCATCTTCCCTGTGGCTACATACGGATGTGAGTCGTGGACTATCTCTCAGTCTTTAAGAAAGAGAATGGGGGCTTTTGGGCTGAAATGCTATAGAAAGATTCTCAGAATATCTTGGACAAAGAAGATAAGAAATATTGACATCTTAAAAGATCTGAACATCAAGGAATTTTGGCTAAAAAACAGCATCCTTTCTCGAAAGCTGAAATATTTTGGTCATATCAAGCGTCACAGCGGATTGGAAAAAAATGATAGCAAAAGGCATGGTACCAGGAAGGAGGGACAAGAAGATGGGCGCAGGATATAAGTGACTCCTTGAGTGTGTAGGTGCATGAAGGCGGGAGAACTGGCGAGAGATCGAGTTTCTTTCAGGCAGACTGTGATGAGAGCGACGTTCTGCAAAAGACCTGCTACATGATGATGATGATGATCTGTTTGTCTATTTGCATTTTTGTCCGTCTGCCTGTCTGTACGTTGGTCGTTCTGTTTCGCCCGTTCCTGAAATCACTGACCCCATAAACAATGTATGCCTCCGTTGTTTCTATTGCTTACTTCCCATTTTACCTGAACAAGAATAGACCCACTGCCCCCTAAACAAACATTTCGTAAAAGGTGACTTTTTAAGCTGTTTACTTTGTAGACCGATTGCATCTGTTTGGGAGGTAAGGAATAATCAGTTTCTATAAAAATAGGCCAGAAATGTAAAACGGGTGTGCACACAGCAATCAAATTCTCAAACAATACCAGCACTTTCCGCCGGAGTTCACAGCCGATGAACGCTAAAAAGAAGAAGAGGTAGAATACCGCTTACATCTGCACGAATCATCACTTAATTCAGAATAGCCTACAACACTCCCAAAAATCTGGCAAACAAGCAGTAAATGGCGGGCGTGA